AATACGATTTTTTGCATTTCTGAAAGTTCTATGAACTTAAAAAAATGTTTAAAACGTTATTGGGTCAAGTTTGAATTTTTGAGGGACCAAAATAATGACACTAATAAGAGATTTTTTAATAAAAACAAAACACCATACATTTTAAAAAAAATAAAAAATCGAACGTTTGAGAATCCTACCAAATACGGTTCTTTGCAAACTCGAGAAAAATCCATAAAACGTTTTTGGACCGAGTTTAAATATTTGCGAGACCGAAATAATGGCATTAGTAGAAAATAAATGTTTTGAAAATTCGTGTTAAAAACAAAAAAGTTACACATTGTTTATCTAAACCACCACCAAATAATTCATAATAATTGGACGATTTGCTCCGACTTTTCCCAAACTTTCTTCGCAAGGTCCGAATCTCTTGCCGTTTTATACGTCTCAACTTTCCTACAATCTGAAAAATGGGCCCCACTCCAGTTTTCTATTCCTTTAGCCACTGAACAATAAATCGTAGTTTGGGCCCCTTCTTCCGGTGTCTGAAAATCACCAATCAAAATTTTCAAATAGTTTGGAGAAAAATCCCACTTTTGAAAATAAACCGACAACAATATCAACCAACAATTTCAAGTAGCCGTTAACAGAGTCGAAAATATTGGTTTTGACCAGTCCTGGATGAAGGGAATAGGCCGTCACTCCAGTCCCTTCCAATCTTCGAGCTAACTCTTGAGTAAAAAAAATGTTACACAATTTGGAATTCACGTAGTCTTTCCCATGAGTGGTAATTTTCTCCACGTTGAAGTCAAATGCTCTCTTAGCCCCGGCTGAGGAAACGTTTACGATGCGACTAGGGGCCGATTTTTTCAACAAATCTAAAAATTTTCGATAAATCAAAGAAACAAAAAATTTGCAATAAACCTAATAATAATTGAGTGAGAAGGAAACTGGAAAAATGGTTAGTTTGCATAATCACTGGAAGGTTATCACTGGTGACTTCGCCCCCAAATGCGAGGGTTCCGGCGTTGTTTACCAAAATATCTAACCGACTTTCCGTCTTGTTTATTTCTCGAGCAAAAGCTCGGACCGACTCAAATGAGCTCATGTTTAAAATCTTGACAACAATGTTCTCATTTCCAGTCTCTTTTACGATTTTCCTTAGGGCTTCATCCCCTTTTGAGTGACTGCGACAAGCCAGAATGACTCGAGCGCCTCTTTTAGCCAAATCCAGAGCTGTTTCGTACCCAATACCTATTTTTTTTTATCAAATAAATTGCTAAAAGTAATTGTAAAACTTACCGGCATTTCCGCCTGTTATTAGAGCAGTTTTGCCAACCAAACATGTGTGACTTTTGCACCAACCGGTGGTCACTTTCAAATATATTTTAAAAAGTGCACAAAACACAAAAAGTAACGGCAAAATGGACAAAATCATTTTTTGCTATTATTTTTGCAAAATCATCACCGATTTTATCAGGGGAGATAACAAAAATCAATTTATTTTCAAGTTTGTGTTACAAATAGAGTTTTTTTAGCTTGCTGTTTTGCAAGCTTCGATTTTTTGACAATTAATCAAAATTATAGCTTTGATTTATTTTTTTGGCGTTCATAGATCATAAAAAGCAGATTTTAATTTTTTTCGTTTTTGTTTCATAAAACTTTTTCGAGAAAATTACGTTTAGAATTAAAAAAAAAGTAATTTTTTGACTTTTCTTCAAGTGACTATTACAAGAAAATTAAAAAAATCATGGGCATAAAACCATACAAGATCGTATAGGTTTCAAGTTGATATGAGATAACAAAAATCTATTACAAGTGAATAACTTCTCCTGCAATTTTTTTCTAAATTCCTTGTTGTTTTCAGTTTTTTTAGAATCAAAAAAAATCATAACTTTGCTCTACTTCAAGTTTTCGCTTTTTCATAAATAATTAAAAGATAATTTTTATAGTTTTTGTGTTTGTTTTATAGAACTTATAATTTTTTAAAATTAAAAAACAAAGGATTTTTAACTTTTTTTCAAACGGCTATCACGAGAGAGCTATTACGAAGTTGATATGACGTTGAGAAACATTATCAACAAAAATTATTTTTGCCTATTTTGCCTATTTTTCTCCATTTTACTGATTTTTGCCTATTTTTACTTATTTAAAAATAAAGTCAAGATGTATGTAACCATTTTTCGCTATTAATTTCCTCCGATTTTTCCCAGAGTTTTTTGGCAAGGCCCAAATCTCTCGCTGTTTTGTAAGCTTCGACTCTTTACAATCGGAAAAATGGCCCCCATTGTGCCCCTCAGTTCCCCTTGCCACGGAACAATAAATCGTGGTTTGGGGCCCTTCTTCCGGACTCTAAAAAAAAACATTCAAAACTGCCACTTTCCCACTTTTCCTTACTTTTGCGAAGAAATTCAGAAGAACTGTGGCAAAAATTTTCAAATAAGTGTTATTTTCAAAAAAATTCGTCTTGACGAGCCCCGGATGGAGCGAATAAGCCGAGACCTCTTGTAATTTTTTAAAATTAAAAAAAAGTAAATTTTTGACTTTTTTCAAACGGCTATTATACGAGAAAACTATAAGGATTATGGACATATATGACCTTAAACAACTCAAAAATTCCGAACAATTTAAATATTCTAAATAAATATAATTTTTGCTTATTTTGCCTCTATTTTTGTCCGTTTTACCTATTTTTGGCAATTTTTATTTATTTAAAAATAAAGTTAAGATATATATACAATCATTTTTTGCTATTAGTTTCCCAAAATCATGACAAACTTTATTAAAAGAGTTAACAAAAAAACATATATTTTCAAAAATATTACAAATGGACAATTTCCTCCGATTTTTCCCAGAGTTTTCTGGCAAGGCCCAAATCTCTCGCTGTTTTGTAAGCTTCGACTCTTTTACAATCGGAAAAATGGCCTCCATTGTGCCCCTCAATTCCCCTTGCCACGGAACAATAAATCGTGGTTTGGGCCCCTTCTTCCGGACTCTAAAAAAAACATTCAAAAATGCCACTTTCACATTTTTCCTTACTTTTGCGAAAAAATTCAGAAGAACTGTGGCAAAAATTTTCAAATAAGTGTTATTTTCAAAAAAATTCGTCTTGACGACCCCCGGATGGAGCGAATAGGCCGTAACTCCGCTCCCCTCCAGTTTTTTGGCCAATTCTTGTGTGAAAAAAATATTACACAGCTTCGAATAGGCATAATCGCGTCCCATTTTCGCATTGTGTTTGAAAATTTTGTCCAGAGTGAAATCCCTAGCCTGTCGGGCAGCCATCGACGACACATTGACAACCCGACTTGGGGTTTTCTTCAATAAATCCATCAACAAATTTGTTAGAAGAAAACCGGAAAAGTGGTTGGTTTGGATCAAAACCGGAAGTCCATCTTTGGTGGTCTCGCCCCAGTGACCGAACATTCCGGCATTGTTGACCAAAATGTCTAAACGGCTTTCAGTTTCGTTGATTTCTTTGGCCAAGGCTCGGATCGAGTCAAAGGAGGCCATGTCGACGATTTTGACAATTATGTTGTCATTTCCGGTCTCGGAAATGATTTTTGAACGGGCTTCTTCCGCTTTGGCTGCATTGCGACAAGCCAAAATGACGCCAGCGCCCCTTTTGGCGAAGTCCAAAGCGGTTTCGTAACCAATACCTGTTTAAAAAAAACAGAAAGGTGAAGTCCAAAAACGGTAAAAGTGTTACTTACCAGAGTTTGCCCCTGTTATTAAGGCAGTTCTGCCAACCAAACAAGTCTGACTTTTACACCATCCTGTAGTTAGTTTTAGGTAAATTTTGGTAATTGCAAATATTGCAAAAACGAGTGCAATTGCAATCAGTAGAAGCATTTTGGACTTCAGTTGATAAACTGTGTCTAAAAGCAGTGTTTTTATCATTTAAAAAATATGTACTCAAATACAAATAATTAAGAACATCTTATCTCTGTTTATTTATCTATAAATTCCAAAATAAAGTGCTTACATAACAAGTACTTCTTTTTATTTAGGATTAAATTGTTTGTGATTTTGTGTGAACAAATTTTTTTTCTTTTGATTTTGGGTATTTTTATATAATAAAATGATCAATTAAAACAAAATATTGGTTAAAAAAGATAAATATTGCAAGGTTTTTGGAACGCCTATGAGAAAGTCTAGAAAACCTTAAAATACTTTATGGTTTAGATTGCCCAAAATCGGATTTATAAAAAAAGCTAGTTAAAAATCTATTGCAAATGATTAAAAGTGTTTCAAAAATTTACCGTAAAATAGGATTACTTTGACACGTTATGGGGAAAATTATGTTATTTTATTTTTATGCCATATAAATCTTTTTAAGAAAATACAAATAAAATATATGTTATGTTTTGTGTTTAATGATTTTAATAAAATTTATTTACGTCATATATTACCGATTTTTAGTTTTAAGGTGACAAAGTACCCCCCAGGATAGCATAACTTTGATTTTCAACGTAATTAAGGGGACTGTCAAAATAGCCCCGAAGTTGGGACCAAATTTTCAATTTTTTTTGGGAAAACTCTAATCTTGAGGCAAAATTTTAATTTTTTTTGTTAAAGCAGAAGGATCAATTGTTCTGATGCTAATTTTTTCAAGAAAATATTACAACTAATAAAAAAGTTACATTATAACTATGTCAAAGTAACCCCGTTTTACGGTAAAAAATTCAAATATTAAGAATTCAAAAAAAGGATGACTAAAATCAATTAAAAATAATCGAAAACGTCTAATATTTAGTAAAAGCCCAGTTTTTTTAATATTTACAAAAATCAATTTTTTTCTAATAATATTAACAATACCAGTATATTATTTACAAGTGAAAAAATTGGCCATTGGCCGAAGACGAGTGGAATGGCCATTTCTCACGAGTTTAACACTAAACTTTTTCTAAACTTAAATAATGGCTGAAATAGTTCATTTTATATTTTCTTTTTATTGTCAACATACACATTAACTAATTTCTTGTCAATTTGCTCCACAACTGTAGAAAATCCATACACACAAATATTTCCAAAATTTATTCTCTGCGTTTCTACAATGTTTTATGCACTTTTTGATTCTCTTGGACACCTAGTAGTGCATTTGGATAAATATTGAAGTTTTCAATTTTTGACAAAATTTTGGTCAATTTTCGGTAACTCGAAAGCTATTGTTGATGGCTCCTTTGGGTTTGTTATCATTACATTTCCTATCTGTTTAAATTCTCAATAATAAACACGATTTTTTTTCTAATAATATTGGCAATGAAACTGTGTGTCACAAAAACTGATTCACTGTTCAATGACATGAGAAAAATATTTATTTTTAGTTTCAAAGATTATGTTTGAAGCATTTCTCATTAATAAGAACATAGTACACATAAAAATAAATAAATAAATTTTATCTATAAAAATTTGAAGTTGTGATAGGGTTTAAAGTTTGCACCACTTTGACTCTATTTATTTCTGCTGAAAAAATAATTTTCCAAGTTTTTTTGCTATAGGCTATTAAAAGAGGAAACAAGAAAGCTGTATCCTAAATTGTAACTCTGTTCAATGTTATTTGTAGCTTTTACTGACAAAATTTTTGTCCTTTTACTAAATAATTGTAAAAAAACATATACAAGATCATCAGTATCATTAAATAGATATAAAAAATGTCAAATGTCAAAAAATAAATGTCAAAATTTTTTGACAGGTAGAATTTTTTAAACATTTTTTTCATGTTCCTGGTATCTTACCTTACTTGAAATTTTTCTCTGGGGCGCCAGTTCTAGCGCACCCTGTATTTAAAGCTAATAAAATGAAAAATGCTCGGCTTTATTAGAGTTCTTGTACAGAATTTATTAATTATATGCTCAATCGAGATTTTATATTTATACAGGGTGCGTTAAAACTCGCGCACCAGAAAAAAATTTCAAGTAAGATATCAAAAACATGAAAAAAATGTTAAAAATTTCTCTGTCAAAAAATTTTAACATTTATTTTTTGACATATGACATTTTTATGTCTATTTAATGATACTGATGATCTTGTATATGTATATATATTTTTATAATTATTTAGTAAAAGTACAAAAAATTTTCCAATAAAGGCCACAACAGGGGCGGATCCAGGAATTAATTTTGGGAAGGACTATCTAAAAATTTTTAGAATGATGAGGGTATACAGTGAGCGGCAAAATTCTAGAATAATCTTATTTATTAAAACTGAAAATATTTTGTTTTGGAAAAATTCTGGAACAGGTCTATTTTCTTTTTAAAAAATACAAACTTTGTATCCACAATCACTTAAAGAGACTTTATTCCACACTTTAGATGCGTAGTGTGGAATAAAGTCTCTTTATAAAGTGAATGTGGATAAAGAACTAACGTTCTCGCGGTTAAACATTCTTGCATGGATAAAACGCTAGCTAACACACTCTTACAATAAATAACTATTAACTTGATTTAAAATTCTACCTTAATTTTTTATTGATATTATTTCACTTTTTGGATATTTTTTTTTTGAAAACTTTATGTAATACATAATATTTTGGTATTGCCATTTCGACAATTAAAAAATCTATCGAATTCACTAAAAAAATTAGGGGTTTCCATTAAACAAAAAATGTCGCTGTCGTCATTACCCAAAAACCAGGAAGTGTAGAATTTTAAAACAAGTTGAAAATTGTGTATAAGGTGTTCTAGCGAGTTGGTAAAGTTCATTATTCAAACAGATATAAATTTAATTTAATTAGATACCAAAGATGTGGCCCAAAGAAAATTGCAATTGATGATTTCTTTTTAAATTAGTAAAAAGTAACTAAGTATCGAGAGATCACGATAATTTGTCCTTGTATCCGAAAACGTATGTCCTGTGCGTATGTCTGTGAAACGTCAAATAAAATGACAAGTGGAAAGGTAAAATCCCATGATCAAAAAGATAACCAAATTTATGATTTACCTTCAAAAAAGAACGGTCTTATTAATACATCGGCGACTAATTCCAGCCCATTTTGCCGTTTTCGACTTATTTTATTTGACGTTTCACCTGCAGTTAATTCAAAAACAGACATACGTACAGTTGCGGAATTAAAAACTCGGGCAGTAGCTATTTTTCTGTCACTTTAAAAAGTTCACTGTAAACTACCTTTTACTGTCATCATGACAAGAGTAAAAAATGAGGTTATTAATAAAGTCCCTCCTCTATGCAGATGACCTGACATTATACATAAAGGGCAGTAACCTAAGATCCATGACAAGATTAATGCAGCGAGCCCTTGACAATCTGGAAAAGTGGTCACAAAAAACAGGATTTATGTTTTCTGTAGAAAAGACTAAGTGTATAGTATTCTCCAAAATGAAGAACGAAGAGCAGCACCAACTTCTATTACACAACAGACCGCTCGATTATGCTACCTCCATCAAATACCTAGGAGTAACTTTCGATAATCGGCTAAACTGGGAAGCACACATCAATAACATACGAACAGAATGTAATAAACGCTTAGGGCTCCTCAAAGTTCTGGCTAACCAGTCCTGGGGAGCAGACATAGATATGTTACTGCGAATATACAGAACACTCATTCGATCAGTCATTGATTACGGAAGTATAGCGTACTCCACAGCAACCTCTTCCACACTAAATCCGCTAAACGTAATACAAAATTCTGCTTTAAGAATAGCCTTAGGAGCATTTCGTACCACCCCGGTCCAAAGCCTCCACTGCTTAGCATCAGAGCCAGCTCTCTCTCTACGTCGAAACTACCTCACACTTGCATACAGACTTCGAATAACCGAACACCCTGCAAATCCTATTAATAAAATCTTAAACTCAAAACGCTCCCAGAAAATATTTGAAGAAAAAAAATCTGCTCGCCCACCCATATACCGCCGCATAGAGTTCGCTCTCCAAGACCTTTCCCTCACACCTAGTCCTATTCACTGTCAAAATTACTCAAATCCTTCTTTCTGGGTCCACGGCCACATCAGCTGTAACCTTCAACTAAAATGCATCTCAAACTCGGAACTCGTCATTTCTGCAAACGAAATGCTGACACAGATTCTTCACTCATACAACAACCCATATACTATCTACGTCGACGCGTCCAAGAGAGAACAAGAAGTAGGCTATGCCTATGTAACACCAACTTCAACAAAAATGTTTCATCTCCCCCCTGACACTTCTGTTCTAACGGCTGAACTCTGTGCGTTGCACGAGGCTTTAGACGATCAAGATCTACAAGCAGGCGAAAACCGAGATATCATCATCTGTACCGACTCGCTTAGTTCTTTACATCAAATACAACAACTAAACCCGGTTAGCCCTCTTGTCAATGACATTAAAACCAAGGTCCACTCTCTTCAACAAATTGGAAAACTTGTCCACTTTATATGGACTCCGTCACACGTAGGGATATTAGGCAATGAGGAAGCGGACAGGGCAGCCAAAGAAGCCACATGCAGTCCTACAGCCATCCAGCGAAGTCATGTGCAGAGACAGGATGCAATAGCTGCGTTAAAACAGCAAATGCAGAACAAATGGCAATCCCAATGGGCAAACACTAATACAGCACTTCACAAATGTAAACCTACCGTGGACAAGTGGAAGTTAGCTGTCCACCCTCGAGCTGATGAGGTCATACTGTCTAGATTGCGACTAGGACATACAAGATTAACACACGGTCATTTGATTACTAAAGCAGAACCGCCTGTATGCCCAAAATGCTATGCACCCACTACAATCGAACATATAATTCAAGATTGCCCGTACTACAAAACTCAAAGAGAGCAATTCGGCCTACATGGAACCTTAACTGAAAATCTCAACAATAATGTGGAAAATACAAGGAACACACTGCAATACCTGAAATCCATCCAATTGTTTAATTTATTGTAATTATTGTTCTTATATTTTACAAATATTTTATATACCTATGTACATATAGTAATAGGTGCTAATAACCCACGCTGGTTGATGCACCTTAAACTAAATAAAAAAAATATATATATATAAAGGTTGTTTTAGAGTTTACATTATGAAAATGACAGTACTGCCCAAAATTTTAATTACGCAACTGTACGTTTTCGGAACCAAAAATTACTCGATTACAAATTATTTTGATCTCTCGGTATATGTATGATTTGTATTAATAAGTGTGATTTAAAAAGAATTTTAATGTTTTTATTTAAAAACCTTTAGGTCATAAAGTTTTTATATTAAAATTTAAATATAAAAAATTGAAGCGTTTGGTGGCAAGTTTGGGGGGGGCCCTGGCCCCCTGGGCCCCTCCCCTGGATCCGCCCTTGGGCCACAAAGAACATTAAATTTAGGATA